TTCCCCTCTTCTTAACCTTGCCTGCAACCTGCTCTGCATTAGAAATTAAGCTTTTCAGTGCATGGAAAGAATTGGCTTATTGAAAACCACTCTTCCCTAAAACCCTTCTTTGAGTCAGGTGTTATGATTTTAACAGACCTCACCATCAGAATAAAAACTGCACACGAAGTAAAACCTAAGAGATGTCAACAAAAATAACTGACTGCTGTTTAATACGAGATGAATGCACCACGTTGGGTCCACTGTGGCTAATCCACGTCAATGTCTAAGGGGCAAAGACTCTGAAAGGCTCCCCTTCCTCCAGGGCACAGTCACAGACTTCCCATCTCAGCAGGAGCCATGACTTAGGAAAGCCAAGGGACTGTGGGTGACAGCACCGTGGGCATCACTTACAGGCCTGGACACGTGTGACCCTCCCCCCTCTCTCCTCCCCTAAGTGTCGACCAGATGCAGAAGGTGGGCAGAGGGCTCTGAAGCCTTGCAGGATGGTGGAGCCCAGGATGAAGGAGCCCGGGTCTCCGGAGTCTCTATGTGAAATTAGTTGACAGCGAATGTGACATGAACAAAAAAATAAGCTTCCAATGTAGCAAGCCAGTAAGGTTTGGGAATTGCTGTTACAGTGGTTTGCCTACTTCAACGTGATAAAGAATTTTTCAACCACCACGTAATGACTCACTCATATATAAAGTAGTCTATACGGAATCCCAGGATAATGTGCTCATTTTACGTCAGTCTGAGTGGTCTGAGGTGGGAGATGACAGCAATCGATAGGGATGGTCGTTGGAAATAACCGGGCTCCCTGAAGCAAAGGTTGGAAACCGAGCTCCGGATGGGGTAGGTCGCATCTCGGACTTTGTGATGGTCCTGGTACTATCCCAAAGAAAATGCAGAGTGGAACCGTTTAAATTTGATTCTAGAATTATATTAATTTATAAGATGGGCATCTTCATGAAGGACTAAGCCAAGTACACAAAAGGATTTAAAAACACAGCCAAGAAGGACGCACAGCCTAGCACGTCAACGGCGCTTGTCGAGATGGGCTGTGGATGCCATCCCTGGGAGTGTTTACCAAAATATGCTGCTGTGTCTCAAGAGTCCTGAAATCATACACAGAACAGCTTACGGAGCAGGCAGGTAGCAGGGTGAGTGCAAAGCGAGAGGGAAGGTGGGCCTGAGGGGCTCCAGCGCCACCTCACGTGCAATGGTATTTAGGGCCTGGGTAGGATTCGCCAGCAGATTCTCCCAGCTTAGCCCCCACATACACGCACTTGACTCACTCACTCAGCAAGTGTTCACCGACGTCCACTGGCCATCTGAAATCTAGGGTTTAGTCTAAAAGCTGTCTTGAGGTTTTTCCCATTCTACTGCTCTAAGGAATGTTTTCTGGTAAAATAGGATGAGTACATGACAACCTCAAAAAAACTTAAGACATATCAGTAGAATTTAGTATGTAAAACAAAACAAAACAAAACAAAACTTCAGACAAAAAAATACTGAAAAAAAAAAAAAACAGGTAAGAGATAGCAGAGGGAGAAAACCACAAAGAACTCAAAAAGAAAATTTCTTTCTTTCTAAACAAAAAGTTTAATTTGCAGTAAGTATAATAATATGAAGTCTACAAATTCAGAAACACAGCTAAAAATGTGCAAGTATCAGGAATTATGATAAATTTGAAAGTAATCTAACTTTTTATCAGACATCTGCCCAAGAGGATGCTATCAGATATGAAATGTCAGTTATGTAGAGTTTATTTTACATGCTTTTTGCTATACATTTGGGCTTGTACCTAAAATTTCATAAAAGGAAAACTTCATTGGAACTAATTTACAGTCTACAACTACTGAGAACGAACAGAGCTGGCAGAGGTGAACCGATCTCTTCTCCGGCCGGCGGGACAGCAGGATTACTGAACGGTGGGCAGGCTGTGTCTTCTTCCCCCTGACATTGGCGAGGAAGCCAACTGAGAGGAGTGACTTGCGCTGTCAGGAGAAATGAGAAACGAGCTTGGGTCTACGGGCAAGGAACTAAGCTCTAGAGCCCCTGTTGCCTTGAAAGAAAATGAGGTAAATAAGTATAAAATGTTAACATGAGAAAATGACAGTGGACAATCAAGACGATCTTAATTATTTCAAACAGCTTAATTTGAATACTTTGGAGGATATCGTTCTATATTCTTTCCAAAGGTAAAATGTCATTTACTCAGTTTGATGTTATTATTCCATGTTTTGTCAAGTCCCAGCAAAACTAAGAAAGGGTTCCTCATACATACCACTAGTATAAGTAACATTACAAAAAGCATATTTAACTGGGAGTATGAAGGACTTAAGTGTATTCTTCGTAAACAAATGACTCCATAGGCAGATTCTGCGTATTTTTTGAGCTTTGAAACAGCAACACTGCCTGTATTTCACATTAAGTGACTCAGGATATTGCTAGTTTAGGTTGGTCTTCACATAGGTTTTTATTGACCTTTATAAAGTCATCCTACTAATAGTTTGGAAATAATTGTTCTTCCTTCTTGACCCGACCCCTTCATTCTTATAAATTCTTCATTTCCCAAAATGCCTCACTGTGCTGGAAATTCAGGTCGAGGCTCGTGCCACAACCACCCAGGCCCCACGCACAAGGGGATTCTGCTCCAAGTTCCACAAAGACCCCGTCATGAAACCTTCCACCCACAGCATGGACGTGTGACACACCAGACTCTGACGCTGGCGTTAGCCAAAGTGGTGGTGTGCGGGTCATTTTACTTAAAAAAGCTTTGACCACGTAGGTAACAGTACTTAATTTCTAGCAATCACTTTAGATGTTTCTTGTGACAGTGATGAGAAATATAAATTCTCTAACGGGTGAGAACTTTTTCAACAGCCAGCTTAAAAGGGCAGGCATGCACCGCCTCACAACGGAGAGACATCCTGGGAAACTCCTCGTTAGGTGACTTCGTCCTTGTGCCAACATCACAGAACGCACTTAGGCCGAGGCAGCGGTGCGGCCCACTACACACCTAGGCTGTGTGGTCTGGCCCGTTGCTCCCGGGCTACAACCCTGGGGAGCCTGTCACCCTGCTGATTACTGTAGGCAGCTGTAACACAATGGCAAGTAATTGTGTATCTAAACACAGCCAAACATAGAAAAGGTACAGTGAGAATACGGCATTATAATCGTATGAGACCACTGTCACACATGCGATCTACTGCTGACCAAAGTGTCCTTATCGGGCACATGACTGTAGCTGACTTTGAAAACTAATTTTTTTTACCTACCTTAATTTGTATCCTCTGAAGAGCTATCTATCTCAAGAACAGCATTTTCTTCCTAGGCATGAAAGGGTTTAAAATTATGTAAGATTCTAAATTCTCTATTTAATCAGTCTCAACCAGGGATTCTCAACCTTTGTGATAAGCCATTAAAAAGCCATCAGTGCTGGCTCACTCTTATCTATAAGTTTCTATTTTTCAGTTCATTTGCATAATTATGGCCTACATTTAAAATCCTGAAGTAGGAGGGGGTAAAGAGGCCCTCCACCCTGGAAATCAGAGACTCAGTCACTTCTGACAGCCGCCCAAGGCTGCCCACCCAGCCCCACCCTGGCAAAGTATGCGGCTTGTTTCTTCCCTTCTGCCAGGTGGCAGGCTAGGTCCAGAAGGGAAGGTGGGGAATAATGGAGCACAGATATTCAGTTTCAAGTGTTTGCCAAAGAAGTTAATCTTATGGCACCTTCCCTTTGACCTGTTTGTTCTCTTCTCAGGGTCACTCACCCATCAAATGAAGCAGAATAGTGCATCTAGTTCGCTCCAGCTCTTGCTAGCTATGTTGCCGTACTCAGGAGTTAGCCAGTAACTCAGGGGTTTTTAAACTCTGGGATACTTCTAAATAGGCTGAGAATTCCTGGTGTAACTAAAAATTATGTTGGTCTTAAAATCTTTTAAATTTAGTATTTTAGCCAGAAGAAAAAAGGATTTAATTTCATTCAAAATATATCTTCTAATGGTTAGTATTTGTAAGAAACAAATCATAATTATAAATATATTTTACTGCAGGACTGTAACATGCAAATGATCTAGAGTTCTCAAGATGAGAATGTTAGTAAGTTTCCAAAATTACTTGGCTAGGCAAATAAAATTATTCTAACCACTATATAAATAAAACAAATGTAAGTAAAATATAACATGAAGACAAATTTTCCTTTTAATATCTAAAATGTTGGTTGTTATAAATGCTCAAATTTCCCAGTGTAAGAGAGGTGCTCCTGAAATACCCAACACTGTGTAAGTTGCTTCAGTTGAAAGATCAAGAAGCTTCTTTTCATTTCTAGTCTTCTCTTGCAGAGAGGTTGCTCTCACAGGTAGTACTCCACAAGGCCAAGAACAATCTGCTTAATATTATGCTACATTAACAGACCTATCTGTGGCTTTAAGTGAAGGTAAAAAATTGTTTATAAAACATAGGCTCTAAATGAGACACAATCCAAGGGATGAGCAAGATTAGAGCACCAATTTTCTTTTCTATCATATTTTACCCACCTTAAAGCAGAGTTTTGACTGTGAGCATCGCAATGAGCTACGTGTTACAAATAGACACAGATGAACTCAAGCATCGACACAGGTTCAAAAGGATGATGGCATGTGACTCAATAACTCAACTGTTTTGTCATGTTCTGTATCAGTATGAAAAAGCAAACCTTTCCAGGATGTTCACGTAATAAACTGATATCCTCCCTGGATCTAGACAACCTATCCCTGTAGCTATAGAAATGACTGTTCTGTGCTATTGGGCGCTAATGCTTCATGAAAGCACCATTTAGGCACTGGGACTTAGAAGCCAAGTTTGCTCAAAAAGGCTATTTGGGAGCAGTTCAGAACCCTCCTGCCAACTCCACGGCTGCGCATGAACCTGAAAGTCTTTAATAAACTTTAGACATATGATAAACACACACATTACTTTTTTATTTTTAATCAAAATGTGAATCATCATCACTGTAGTGAATAAAAATTCATGACTCAGAATAGCATGCAATGTTTTATTGTTTTCTAATTCTATTTGTACACTTAATATTCTAGTCTTAATTTCACAAACAGTATAAAAGAATGTGCTCCAATGATATTAAACTGCAATTACTCACCTGAAAAGAAACAAAATATTGCCTCTGAAATAATTACTAATTATACAATATTGCAAACTAACAAACACTATAAATATTAAAATGTTAAGAGTTCAATATATAATGTAAATAATATCCTGCCTTTTTTTAATTGCTTAAAACACTTGTTAAGGATCATGCAAAATAAACACTTCATTAAAATGCTAGATTACACTCAAACATCAAGGTAATGAAACACAAAAGAGCAACTATTTAGCACAATGACTGGTTAAGTAAATAATTTAATCAGCACATTAATAAAAATCCATTAAGTGATAAACATTGCAAATATAACACTGAATCTAGACAACTGCATATCTGTGACCTCACCATCTATGACCCTATCTGTAACTTGGGATATACTGCCAGAATTAATTCTACATGAACAAGCTACATTAAAATGACAAAAGAAATTTCAATACATGATGACAGGATACATTTCTAGTCCACACAATACGTAAACATGATCATTCTCTCAACTCTGCTAACAATTAATGGAAAGCATAGTTTTATAGTTACATCAGTTTTATCTTTTTTTTTAACCCCTGCTTTGTTACATGTTTTTAAACTTTTTTAAAAAATGTTTTTCCTTTCTTATGCTCCTCCTCTAGAATTAATATGCTGATTTAGGAACAGATGAAGTAGACAAACTCTGCCCTAGTAATGGAAAGCAATGATTTAGTTGTACCTAATTAAATATCTCCTTGTCATTTGTCAATTGTCACTGACCTTTTTGATGTAATTATTTCTTCATTTACTCATTCCATAAATATTTATGAGTGCCTATTATTACCAATGTCTCCTGATTTTCCAAAAAGAAAATTTGTGGGTTTTCCCCCCTCTCATTGTTAAGCTCACTAAGAAAAAGTTGGACACATGATTTAAAAGAGTTGCAGGACACACTTGGGTGGTTTCTTGCGCACAGATAGATGGTGCTGGAAGCCAGGTCTGGGATTTGAAGAGTAGAGTTTCCAGGTAATAAGGAAGTTGTTGCCCCCTCCCCCCACCTACTGTAACCTATAAAATCTTATCCAGATTAAACCCCTAAGAGCAAAATTTGTTTCTGCTTCATCTAATGCCATATCATCCCTCAAATATTTGGTGACTGAATATTCTACAAAAGGAGTCCCTAAATTTTTATTTTCTTTGCCAAATTAAGCCCTTTACATTTTATAGAATATTTCTGACCTATCTTTACACTCAGCTCAGGCCTGCCTTGTCTCAAAAGGTTTTATGGGGTTATGTGCCAATGAAAAGTATAATAATATTAGTGAGTTTTTAAGCTTCTAATTGCAAAGACAATAGAGGATGACTGGTGTACCATCTTTTCTTATGCTTCCTCTGTTGCACAGTGTATGTCTCACTGACCAAGGGCCTTCCCATCCATTAATTATCTGCAAATGAAATGTATAAAGGTGATGTGCACAGATGGAGTCTAAATTTAGGACAATTTTGTCATAGGGTATAGTAATACTACTCTGCCGTTGTGTGTTTCTCTTAAAGAATGCTTTCTCTTTCTTCTCCAAAGCCTGTGCTCTCAGAAGGGGCTACTGCATGGAGCTCTGAAGAATCTTTGGAGAGCCTTGTGTAACTCGGACGCTGGCTTCGCTTGTGCGTCATGCTTTTTAGATTTTCATTCTGAACAGCAGTTGGGTTGGGACTGGAACTAGGCCTCAGAATGACTTGAGAAGTCTCCCTGGTTCCCTCCATTTCATCAAAGTTCTGATTGGCTCTGTTAGTCGGGGCACTGTTGTTGTTCAGAGTCACAGTGCTGGGTGTGCGGTTCAGGTTGTATGCTTTCTGGCACGCAGGCCAGCTTTCTTCAGGGCTGCTGGCTATCAAGCTGCATTCGGAAGGGCTCTTCTTGTCCTCTGAACAGATGGACATCCGAGCTATGATCGGATCCTGCAGGCCACTCAAGCTATGTGGGATTCCGCGCTTGCCACTGTGGCTGTCGTCTTCCAGCTCTATGAGATTGGCCTTTTCCAGCTGGGACTCATCCGCTGCTTCATTGTGAAGAGAGTGATTGGGAGAACTTTCGTTGGATCGCACCCCTGAATCTGAGGAATCCTTTTTGTCCAGGAGGGCATCCGATAAATATTCTTTTGCTTTAATGAAGGTTCTAATTGGCTCTGCACTGTGTTCTGGAGACTTTGACACTCTCTCGACTTTCCCTTCAGCTTTTTTGTCTTTATCATCCTTGAGCAGTGGAGTATTATCTGATTCTTCCGTACCGGATTCATCTTCATCACTTGGCAGTTTCTGATAGCGCAGCCCACCTCCCTTAAGCTTCAAATCCGTCTGGAAGAGACTTGACCTTTCAGAGGATTTCTTGCCTGGGAGCAGCTTACTGCCTGACTGATCAGATTTTTCATCCTCTTCAGTGATAGGATCCAAGGGTGAGGCATCATTAGTGGACACCCCTGAGGATGAATAATCTATGACATCTCCCCTCTTCATTAAAAAGGACTTCCTTCCATCATCTTGTTTGGGTTCACTCTCTTTCCCTTTCTCTTGCTCTAGATTAGAATGAATAGAGCCCCCTGATGAACTCTGACCCATATAGTATGTGCTATGTGGAGAAGATCTGCCACTAATTGTTGCAGACCCTGTACCCCCTTCTAACTGGGACATCTGAGCAATGTATTCTCTATAGGCGTCTCTATACTCGGCCTGCACCTTATCAGTAAGCTTTGAAATTTCAATACTGGAATCCTGGGAATTGAGACTCGAAAGACTTGGGGTTCTGCGAGTTTGTGACTGTGAAGACAGAAAAAAAAAATTTAAAAATTCAAATAAGCAAAACAAAAAGCATAATAAACATCAGTTTAGAAAAGATATAGGTACACTAACAATTTTAAAAGTCATCAAAATACCAAGTTCTTTTAAAAGAATTTTATGACAGTTTAACAAAAGCTATGATCTTATAAATAATTCTACTGGTATTAGAAAGCTTTATATCAATTTTAATAAAATCAGTTTATTAATATTTAAAAGTATAATTAAAAATAGTATTAACAATAATCTTAGATTTGTTTTTGTTTTGTGATATTTTTAATTTAATTTAATTTTTTTTTTTAAGGGACAGGGTCTTGCTATGTTGCTCAGGCTGGATTTGAACTCCTGGGCTCAAGCGATCCTCCCATCTTAGCCTCCCTAGTAGCTGGGACCACAGGGGCACACCGCCACACACAGCCAAAGCACTTGTTTTTATAACTTCAAACTTTTAACTTTTATTTAAGGTAAAGTCACCTCCATTGATAAAATATAAAAAACCATGAGACCAATAGTTGGGCCCTAGTAAACACAGAAATAACATATTTTTTAAAGTTTGATTTCTAATATGAAATTTTAGGACTAGAGTTGCTTTAGATCCCAGAAAAACTAATGAACAAGGAGTAAAAAGCACAGATTGGAAAAAGGGAAACAGAAGAAAAAGAATCAAGAAATTTTAAGAAGGGATGAGAGCAAAGGTTAAAACAAAGTAGAAGCAAAGCAGAGTCTTCCTTCCAGGGGAAGAAGATGTCCCACGTCCTTACGAAGGCCCCAGTGATCACATTCAGACTGTGAGGACAGCGCCATTCTCCATCCATTAGGGCGGCTGTTCTCAAATGTACGTGTGCACCCCTTTCCAGGGGACCCACAAGGTCAAAGCTGTTCTTATATGAATAGGAACATGTTATCTGCCTTTTCCACTCTCATTCTCACAAGAGTATCCAGTGGAGTTTCCAGAGGCCACGTGATGTCATAAGAGATTCGCCTGTGGAAGCAGGATGGGAACCTAGGAGTCTTCTATGAAGCCAGGCATTCAAGAGATTTGCGAGACAATACCGTTCTCACTAAATTTTTTGTTTTGGAAAATATAGTTTTTAAGAGTGCAAGAGAGCCCGAGATTAAAGAAAAATTTGAGAACTGCTGCATTAATGGAAGAGCTCTGAATATCCAGGTCCTGGTAGGAAATACCAAGTATAATGAAGCTAAAACTGAGGATTTCTTAAGAAGTTTTAAAAGGAACCCTAGGGAAAAGCAAAGAGCGACTGCCGTTGACACAGAGAGACAAAATGATCAAGTGTGGACTTCACTTATCGTAAAGTAAGTAATTTTTATCTTAATAAAAGGGTAATACTATAATAGTCAATGGTTTCCCAACTTACAGAAATATAGGTAGATAGTATGGAGAAAAAGATAATAATAAAGAAAAAGTATTTTTACTATCAAACAAAATAGTGTTGACAATGGTACACCTACCCAGTACTTGCTTTTCCTCTATACTGACCCTGTTAGTGTGGTGCTTCTTTGCAGCTATTTTATTGTCCTCCCTAGCTTGTTTTCGGTACTCTGCTCTGATTTCTCCTAGAGTGTTCTCCTTCTCAATCCCCTCCCCTCCTCCTCCTCCTCCTCCTCCTCCTGCTCCTGTGTCTCTCACTTTGTTCTGTTCCTGCTCCTCACCTGGCCTCACTCTCCCCACTAAGGATAACCAAAGGAGGAATTCACCTACTCCCAATACCAGGTAAGAAGAAGAAAACAAATACCCATAAAAAGCATGCACATGCACTGGAAAACCAAGTGACAGTGCTCAAAGGGAGATTTGTGGCAAGTGTACCAATAAAGACGTATTTTGGCCAATGATTAATGAATTTAACAGGACTCTTGCCAGTGAAAGGCTGAATATGTCGACCACCCTCGCCGAGGCAGCCCCGCTTCTGTTTACTCTCCCAGCCATCACCCGATTGTTCCACAGGTCTCGCTGATTTCTCAATGATCTCATTTTTTCCCTTTACTTCACTGACTGTCCCTCTCCAGGTGAAAGCAGCTCCCTAAGGACATGGCGCCCTCCACCTTGCCCACTTAAGTATACAGTAAGCATTTTCCGAGTGACCGTATAAATGTCCGATATATTCTCAGTGAATTGAATAGTGTCCTTATTCTTCAAAAATAATAATACGAAAAATGACATTTAATAAATACCTGCCAACTCAGGTTACTGTGACGTGGGGCACCTTCATCTAGGCCAAGTGTATTCAACTCTTCAAAGCTGAAGTTCAGCGTGTAGGGTGCTTGGCTGGAGAGCTCAGTGTGCGGCAGCTCGCTGTGTGCAGGGCGGCGCGTGGCTTCCCCATGAGGAGCGGGGCCGCTGCTGTTCTCAGTAAGGAAACGCGGGTCTTCAGGAACCACCTGGTTTTCTGCGTTTCTCATTTCTAGTATCTTAACAGAAGAAAGAATATCATAAATATTTACACATTGATCTTCTTCCTTCCTCCCTCCTTCCCTTCCTGAGACAGGGTCTTGCTCTGTCACCCAGGCTGGAGTGCAGTAGCGTATTAACAGCTCACTGCAGCCTTGAACTCCTGGGTTCAGGCAATCCTACTCCCTCAGCCTCCTGATAACTGGGACAGCAGGCACATATCACACCATGCCTGGTTAATTTTTTTAAATAGAAATGGGGTCCTTGCTATGATGTCCAGGCTGGTTTTGAACTCCTGGCCTCAAGCAATCCTCCCACTTCTGCCCTCCAAAGTACTGGGATTACAGGCATTAGCCATTGTGCCCAGCCAACAAATTATATTTTAGAAGCTTTAGAAATAGATTTTTAAAATATTATAAAATTTTTATAAAGGAAATGAGAACGCATACTTGTGGTAAGAAAATTTCTAGTGAATTTGTACTATATCTGCTTACAATTAATACTAAAAGAAGTAATGGCAGAAATTACCATATATACTACCCTTTGGTTTGCATATTATATTATTACTCTAGTTTAAAACTTAACTTGAGAACAAAGCAAAATGCAACTGGAGTGTGTCAAAGAAAACCAGAACTGGACAGTAAGTAGTTAGGATTTTATTCAGGACTATTGCAATAGGGGAAAAGAGATCTCAGGGTGGCAGTGGGCTCGACCCTGAATACAGCATGGATAAGTGGGGATTTATAGCCAAGGAGCAGGGTGGGGCCAGTGACTGGAAAGTGACTAAGAGGAAGGATCGGGTGGGCAGGTCTAGAAGGGCCGGGATGAACAGACATTACCTGGGGCAGTGGGTGAGGAAGCTGATCAACTGCCCAGGGTGATCAAGTATGGTCGGGGTGGGGCTCCTTCTAAACCGACCTAACAGGATTCTTGCTAAAACTGGGCCATCCAAGCAGGATGGACAGACACTGAAGGTCAGGGCCTAGAAGAGCCTGACCACAGTGAGGTCAAGAAGAGTCTGTGTCAAGTGAAAGCATGAAGAACTGGCAGTGGCCTCTTCCCCACATTTCTGAATGAAATGTCAAAAAGGCAAAGGTTGCCAAGCGCTGCTGTGTATATTCTCCCTAACCCAGGGTGTACACAAGTATAAAATGTAGTTTTAACATTTTTTTTTAAATATGGAAAAATACTAGTTTAGACCAGTACTTATTAGTACTGGTTTTATACAATGTTATAAATAATCTTGGATGTTAAAATAATGTTATAAATATCTTACTGTGCTTCTGAAAAGGTGCCAGTCTCCAAAATTCATATTCATCTCTTTCTTCAGTTCATCAATGTTACACTGAGCTAACACGCGGCCATTTATGTTTGCCTGAGTAAAAACAAGTACAAGGACAAACAAAATGTGAAATATTCTGAATTACTGGTGATTAAGAAGTATACTTACATTTAGTTTTATGAAAGTCTTTAGAGACTAGAAAGGCTGGCCCTAAAAAAGGTTGTCATCTCATGCAAAAATATAGTAAAAAGCTGAATTTGAACAATATAACAAGCCACTCTATATTTTCCCAAGTGCCTTAAGCATTGAAGTAAAGAGAAACACTCTTCAGGGACCAACCCAAGAACCTTCCCTCCCAACTATTTCCAAAACCACCTACCCTGTCATGACCAACAACAGAACTGCTAGTTTTTCTTTTCTGGCCTTAGAAAACATGAACATGAAAAGCTGCAGGGAAGCAACAAACACATCTGTCCTCATAGGTGTGTCTGGTCACTGAGAATTTCTAAGTGAAGTGTTTCTAACAAACTTGTTTATCAGTTACAGTACATACTTTCAGCTATAAAGAACATCTGCCCACTAACTTTCTTGTCTATCAAATTCACAAAAAAATGATTTCTATCACTTTTGGTTCTCTGTAATTTTAGTTTTCCCCAAATAAGGAACATAGAGGTTTTTTTATTAATAATAGGTAGCTTGCCGATTTTATGAAATATAAAACTGCCTCTATTAACTGTGGTAAAATTATGGAATACCTATGCCTAAAATTGATAGAATGTTCAGTTTTCAAGTTAATTCTGAGGAAAAACAGAGCAAGTCTGTGGTAGAGATCCCACTATAACAATGCGAGGGCGTTTGCAGCATGTAAGAAACTATAATAGTTGCTACGAGGGACTTCAGAAAGCCAGGGCCTGGGAGTAGGGACTGAGTGGGAAGGAAACCACCACCCTGCTGGAAACGAGACTGTCACAAAGGACTGAAGCAGGAGGCCTCACTCTTCCCTGACACGAGCCAGCCGCCTGGAGGAGTCAGTCTGCGCAGGGGAAAGGCAGTGTTTGACTCGTGCACCTGTATCAGCACGATGAACTCTGCAAGAAAACTGACGTTATCTGAAACTTTTCTGACTAAACAGTGGCTAAGATTAGTAAAATGGTATCTATATATGCTTATAATTCTTTTAAAAACTTCTTCCAGAAGCCATTCTTTAAAGTATGTAAATATCAGAGCCTTGCTTTTTGTTTTGGTTTTTTTGAGACAGGGTCTTGCTCTGTCACCAAGGCTAAATACAACGGTGTGATCATAGCTCACCTCAGCCTCAAACTCCTAGGAGTGAGCGATCAGAGGCTTGTTATTGATGTTCTACTCTACTACAGTACTCGGACATATAAAGTATAACTTAGTGGAAATATCTATTACAACTGGACTTGGTTAACCTCGTAAAGGGGAAGCCTCCTCCAAAATCTCCACCTCACCGTCCAACTTCTTAGTAGCTATTAGAATTGCAAGAATAGGATTTTGGAAGAAATAAACTTCTGCAAATACATTAGCCTGGCAAACCCAAACCTATGTGGATTCATCAGATGTGACATGATCCTAAGTCCTATATGACACAAAAATGAGAATCTGGGGAAAATGAAGCAAGTGTGGCTTACTTTAATGGAGTCATACATACAAATATTAGAATTAAAGAAAATGTAACATAAAAGAAAAGGTTCCCTTGTCCCACACTGGAAAGATGAGTTACTGTTTTTCTCAACATAAAACCCCTTAGAGCCTTAAATTTCTTACAAAGGCTTTCTTTTACTTATATTAGGTCATTAAGAAAATAACATTGTAATATAGCTACTTTATTCTCTTTTATCCATTTATAAAGATAATAGGGCAGTTCTAGGAAACAACGAAGTAAGAGTCATGTTTTCCATTTAGAGCTTTCCCATTTCAATAGGGAACCTGTCTTTGAGATGCTATCTGGAAGGGTGCTCTGTCCACAAAGTTCTGTCTTCTACACCTAAGTCCCATCCCTAGCTAGCATGTAAATGGGTACATCACCTTTTTGATTGTTGCACAGTACTGCGGCAGCATGCTCTGGTCCAGCCCTTCTATCTGTTTCAGTTTCTCACATACTGCATCCACAGTGAGTGAATTCAGCAGTATCACTGGTCCTGGGGCCGGGCCTGATCCCTAGGTAAGTCGAGGAAAAATACAGGTATGAGGAGCATTTAATGCTAGATACATTAGGTCATGTGACCGACAAACTCATTAAGTTGTACTATGAAGTAAAATAAAAATAATAAATGTGTATCACATAAGGAAAAGCTATTAGGGGACAGATTTAACCACTGTTACATCCTAATGAGTAGCTTTTATTATAGCTGATACAGCTTTGTCAAAACTACTCTTCTAAGAAGATAAAACATTCCACGAACCAAGCTTAGGCCAACTCCTCAAATGCTTATAGCCTAACCTCAAGAGAGGAGGGTGCTGTCCTTAATAAGAGGAAGGACAGAGGTTAAAAAAAAAGCAACAAAGGGGGAAAACTACTGATGCCTGTATTATAGGAACACAAAAGATAAACCTAGAAAATCATTTTTAAAGTGCCTATACTAAACACTTAAGTAGCTTTAAATGTTTCCACAGACAACAGCTGAAATTTTCAGATCTTGATCACATTTTACATCTAAGGGATCTAAAATTTACTTTAGAATCTATATATAATAATCATATAAAGATAAGCCAGTATTTCTTAACATGTGAAAGTAAACATAGTCTATAATAATTTACTCTCATTTAAAAGAAAAATCAAAATAATAAATAAGCCTAGTATTTATTTAGGAACAAAACATTTTCTGAATGTGGTGACATATCAAAGAAGGATCTGCCTGTGGTCAACGTCACCTGCATCTCCTCAATTGTAGATGCTCACACTGAGATCTAGAGGGTTAATTCAGGACTCCAAAGTCACAGAATAAATAGCTAGTTAGTGGTAGATTTGGACCAGAACACTAACTTACAGGTCTTTTAACTTCCTATTTTCATTGCTCCAACTGTCTATTTTTGATGAGGTTATATAAATTATAACCACAATAAAGAGAAGACAAATACAGAGGAAACTAATATAAAGGACAAAGACAATGTGCCAAACAATCTGTCCTGTTTACCATTACATGTAATCTTCAAACAGAAAGGAAAATTTATCATATCCTCAGGGTATGTGAATTTATATTTCCTATGGCCTTTTACCACATAAGGGCAAAAGTAGACTACAGCATAGTCAAAAATGCCTTTTGTTAAACATCCTCTGTAATATGAAAGCATAATGTACTATTCTTATTACTAACTGACAAAGATATGCATATAGTATATATACGGCATATATCTATTATAGATAAATATAAATATAGCTAGGGAATGATACCACATTGAACAGATAGCTGAGTAGAAACAGAGAATTAGGGAGTCTTAGCAAGTTTACAAGTATGACACAGGCCCATAAAAGTTTGGAAATGAATGATCTGGAATATAGTGCAAGCACATTTATAGTTTGTTTTTTAATTAAATATAAATTTTAAATATGCCATATTAATGGTCCAGGGTTCAACTGCTCCAAAAATACTAAGAGCAAAACATTTATTTTTCCATATAGTTCTATTTTCTGCCTGGCCAAGTAGAACCAATATTCAAAGTATTAATTATCCACTATCTACTAGGAAAATGCTTTCTATGAATTTTTAATAACTATAATTATTTTATCTTTCTTTTTTAAAAAGCTTTGAGATATAATTCACATGCCATACAATTCTCCTATTTAAAGTGTACAATAGAGTGATTTTTAGTATATTTATATACTTTTGAAACCATCACCCCAAACAGAAACCCCTATACTCATTAGCAGTCATTCCCCATCTCCTCAACACCCACCCCTATCTCCTGGCAACCGCTAATCTACTTGCTATGTCTAGACATGTCATATTAATGGAATCATACAATATATAACCTTTTGTATCTCACTTCTTTCACTTAGTATAATGTTTTTAAGGGTCACTCACATTATAACATGTCAGTACTTCATTTCTTTTTACTGTTAATTAATATTTATCTTTTAAAAGATTTTTAATTCTGTCTTTCAAATGCTTTTATTCCTCAACCCGTCTCCTTGCTCTGGAAGCATTTATACTTGTTTATATTTTTTTGGTTCAAAAATTACAAAAGAATGGTTTGATCAACAAAATAAATAATGATCATACAGGATTATACCTCATAGATAAAATAAATATCCGTGAGTCCATACTGATATAACTAAATAACTGAATAAATAAACGAATTAGGAAGAAGAGACAGCTTTTCCTTACAGAATTCAAATTAAAATATGTAGAAGAGGGAAACAGAAAATAATCATTAGGCAAACATAATAATGGTGATTGTACACACGATCCACTGATGGATGCTAAAATTAATCAGCTAGAGTATAAGTAGAAACAAGACATTTACAGTTTCAAAGTATCTCCCCCAAGAGATTTATTAGTTACAAAAGGAAATGTAACGCCTTATAGTGCTGAAACCTGGCAGGCGCCACCTTAACCAAGTGATGGAGGTTAGCATTCCCAGTGGGAAGACTCAGGGACATCACAGACCCTCCGCTATGATGCACTGAGAGGGAACCAGCATCATTCCTGTGGTTTTCTCGCAATGTACAACCTCCTTCCAATTATGAGAAAACATCAGACAAGCCCAAGTTGAGGGACATGTTAAAAAATAACTGACCAGTATTCTTCAAAAGTGCTAATTAGAAAGACTAAGGAACTGTCACAGATTAGAGGAGACTAAGGAGAAATAATAAAATGCAAATGAATTGAATTCTGGACCAGAAAAATGGCATTAGTGGAAAAGCTGGTGAAATTCAAATCAAGTCCATAGTTTAGGTAATAGTAGTATACCAATTTTAATTTCTGCCTTTGATAACTCTGTTTTTGGTCATTTTAACTTCTAGTTATAAAAGATGTTTACATTAATGGAATTCCGTATTTTTTGCAACTTTTCTTTAGGTGTAAAATTATTTTAAAGGAAAAAGTTAATTAAAAAATCCCCCATAACTACTTTTGATTGTGCTAAAAAGGACAAGTATAATAGATATGAACCAGATTAACTTTGTCAGCTTAGGGGGAAAATGTAAAATATTAAAGAATATTTTATTTCCATGGAGAATCTAAGAATTCAGCAACAGAGACATGTTAATAAAGATACTACACTTTTCCTTTAAAGCAAAAAACTCCACATAATGTTATTACCATCATCCTTTAAAACTTATATTTTATTAGTTAAAGTATATTTTAAACTTCACTGGGGATTATGTAGAATATATATATGACATTTGGATGACTTTTAAAAGCTGTATAAGAAAAGATAGACACACACACAGGCATAAGATCTTTGTGACTGCATCAAAACTATAGTCTGACTCTCGATTATTTGTAAGTTGGGCTTTATATAAGGAATATATTATCAATTAATGAAAATGTGCTATAATATGTTTCTTTGAATAAAGGAGAAATGATAAATGCCTGTCAGGTCTTTTCTAAAATAATCATATATAATAAAATTATTCTGAAACTAAATAAATTCTATAACCAAAACAATGATTTTGGATAGAAATCTCATAAAAGGAAGAAGAAAGAGCACAAAGTGATAAGGAAACAGTAAAAAGCATATTCAATAATTCAGAAGGTAAATTCTTATTAGAAACTAAGATACTACTTGAAAACACATGAAATAGTTGAATACTTTAACATTTATCATGCATTCTTACTTGAAATTTACATGTAAGTCAAGAACAGATCATTTCAGCTTACTGATTTTATAAATCAGAATTTATTTAAAAATATTCTAATTTGGAAAACTGAATGCAGAAAATGTTAGTTTGTTTAAACTGTTAAATACAAAATTCAAAATGCATGCAAATTAAAATTTCTCCAGGTAAAAGTAAAGCTATCAAAATATTGAAATTAACTTGAGGTAACTAACTGTATCATTTTTATATTATAAGTAGATTAAAACTACACTCTGAAACATTATCATCTTAGGTAAATTTATTAAATAAGCTCAGAATTGATTAGCCAGAAATAATGCCATGCAATGGCAAGAAGCAACTAATAAAATAAACCAAAGATATCAAAATGAGCAGATTTATAAACAGCCCAGCATGAAGTTGTCAATGATTGCTTATAGAGTAAGTGAGTAAGATTTCACTGAGAGTTTCTGTACCTGTCTCTGTTTGTTAAACCCAGAATCACACGACTTTAAGGAAGGAATAAAACAGAAGGAACAGAATGAAGGACAAGAATGCAAAGTAGCACATCAAATATACATGTATAAATGTATAATATACACAGGCAGCCCTTTGTCATTCCTCTTTTTTCCCCTTAATTTTGAACAGACCACTCAGCAGCAAAACAACAAGGAATACACGCGCATGTGCAAACACAGTTCAATTTCATTAACATGCACATGGTAATTTTCTAATTGTACTCTCAAAATTTATATTTTTTGTATCAAAAGAATAAATCACAGGATATATATTCAATAAGAAAACTAGGTAGATCAAACTTGCTATGAAAAGTCAATATTCTTGCTACATACAAGTTTAAAATTAATTTTAAAACATTTAAAAATAAAAAGGCTTAATTACTTGGGCTATCACATAATCACTTCATAAAATGAAATATCTGGCCACACTGCTGTTCATGTTCATAAATACATCTTCAAACTGTTTTGTTTCATTGGGTATGTGGCACATAGCAGGTGCACTAAGATATCATTTCAAAAGAAAGGCCCTAAGAGCCTCACAGGTCAAGAAATAATAAGCTTACTGGACAAGAACTTGCAAACTATGATGAACATAACCATTTTAGTGAGGTAGACTTTTTAAAACTCTAATTCAAAGCAAACAATCGCTGCAGTCAATTATTTTTCTGTACTTATTAGATTGGTGGAAAATATTCTTAAAATGCTTAAATGATCTATAGATGACTGACAATATTTTATCAAAGCTAATTCAGAACATTATTTTAGTGCAATAAATGCCAATATTTGCTACCCTAATATCAGGGATCCTTCTTTTTTTTTTTTTTTTTTTTTTTTTTGAGACAGAGTCTCACTTTGTTGCCCAGGCTAGAGTGAGTGCCGTGGCGTCAGCCTGGCTCACAGCAACCTCAATCTCCTGGGCTCAGCGATCCTACTGCCTCAGCCTCCCGAGTAGCTGGGACTACAGGCATGCACCACCATGCCCGGCTAATTTTTTGTATATATATTTTTAGTTGGTCAATTAATTTCTTTCTATTTTTGGTAGAGACGGGGTCTCGCTCAGGCTGGTTTCGAACTCCTGACCTTGAGCGATCCGCCCGCCTCGGCCTCCCAAAGTGCTAGGATTACAGGCGTGAGCCACCGCACCCGGCCAGGCATCCTTCTTTTAACATATTCAATATCTGGAGTACTTCATAGGACTCTTTTATGGTTTAGTTTATATTATCAACTTTGTTATAAATAGGTTTTTAAAAAGGTTACAATATATATCTGTGGAGACTTTCAAAAACACCAAAATAGGAGTGCTAAAGAAATTACAGTTTACTACAAGACACCCAAAACGCAAAAGAAAGCTATTGTTGACATAACTGGAAAATGTAACTTATACTTCAAACTACTTGAGAAACAATAATTAGGTCAAAGTTGACAGGTAAGGCTTAACACTACATTTTAAGGGTCATCATTTAAAAATACACAAGTACTAAACAACTGCAATGAACACAATTTTGTTAATTTTTAACTGTACTCTATGATTAAATGATAACATTACTGTAATATCCTTTTTGTGAAAATATCTCAAGCAAGTTAGCTGAAATTTATTAAATGTTTAAGAAAAAGGGTTATCTGAGTTGAAGTCTGGCACAAAGACCTTCAAGCACAAAGTGAATACAATTTTTCACTATACTTCAATAAGAGGAAAACACAGAGGAAATACAATTTCCAAACAGAGGAAATATAATTTTTCACTATACTTCAATAAGAGGAAAAAATTTTCCAAATTCAAACAGAATAATAAAAATCTATTTCTAAAATACTTTAAAAGGAATGAATAATGTTCAAGCTACTGCAGGGAGTCCCGGAGAGCTGACAGGAAGTACCTGTCCTGAGCCCGCAGTCTAAACGAAACCTAAAATGCCCCCAACTCCTTACCCATGGCATCTGTAACTTTCTTGTCCAAGTCTCCTGAACAATGAGAGACAGCTTGGTTGGACACGTGCTTGTTTGAAAACAGGCTGTAAGTTCTAAAACAGTGGTGGAAATAAAAATTATCTACAAGTGAACCCTATCTTTTTATACTTTTTACTTGGTCACTCCAACAATTGGATCCTGTTTAATGAAAGCTAATACTTTCACTTTTAGTACCTTTATTAATCCAATAGTGTTCATCAGTCTCTGAAGGTAAAAGTTTTAGCAGCACGGTGGAAATTCTGATATTGTATTAACACTGCCATTGCAATTCTAAAGTTCTTTACAATTAAGCTTTGTGCTAATCATTGTCATGCCTTTTCAACAAGGTATAAAAGTGATCTAAATAAAGCTGTCTTGAAGTTCTAGAAATATCAAGTAAACCCTGTGGCAGAGAAGGTCAAGAAAGAATGACTTAAAGGTACTGATAACTCCCTCAGTGACCTCAAATCCACAAACTCCATGAAGGCAGGACTTTCATCATTCCTGTTCACAGCTGTATCCCATAAAATAGTGCATCTTATACTCAATAAATGTTTGCTGAACCAATGAATGATTACACAGGCATCTGCAGTACTTAATGCTAAATGATCCAGGGAAGGACGAAAGGGTGAAGAAATGCTACATTACTCCTTCCTTTGAAAAAATGCTTTTCATTGAAACAGTTACTGACAGGAGTAGTATCCCTTAAGTTAAAACAGGCTACAGCACTCTTCAGAACAACTCTTTGAGATAACAACATGCCACTGAGAGGACCTGGCCAGATATAGGCCCTCAATAATGGGTCCTTCCTTTCATGAGGGTCACAGAATGATCCGAATTCCACCTCCTATAACTTGGATGTTTACCCCTCCAAAATCTCATGCTGAAATTGGATCCCCAATGTTGGAGGTGGGGCCTAACAGGACGTGTTTGAATCATGGGGGCAGATCCCTAAGGAATAGACCAATGCCCTTCCTGGGAGAGTGGTGAGTGGTGAGTGGTGAGAACTACTCTCCTAGTTCTCACAAGAGCTGGCTGTTAGAAAGAGCCTGGTACCTCTCCTCTCTCCCTTGCTTGCTCTCTCGCCATGTGATCTCTGCACATGCCAGTTCCCCTTTCCCTTCTACCATGAGTAGAAGCAGCCTGAGACCCTCACAAGACGTATGTGCCAGCACCACGCTTCTTGTATAGCTTGTAGAATTGTGAGCCAAATAAGCCTCTTTTCTGGATAAATTACCTAGCCTCACGTATTCCTTCATAGCAACACCAATGGACTAAGAGACACCACTATTTCCTGCTGGGAACTGGACTGAAAAGAGGTAAAGGTACCAAGATAAAATATCCCTGAAAAGCTTTCAAAATTTTAAAGTATCTGAAGTATTCAAATAATCTAGAAAGTCTTCTAAATTCTAAGAAAACAAACCAATTGAAACTTGTTGAGGGAGGGCCTAAGAAGCACCAACAGATAAAAAGGCTGAGTTAATCTAAACTGATTGGAGTATTTGTACACTACTCCCACTAATGAGACCAAGGTTATTTAACCTGAAACAGTTTTAGTTCTGAGTCTTTTCTTTTTTTAGAGATAGGGTTTCACTCTGTTGCCCAGGTTGGAATACAGTGGAACCATCACAGCTCATTGCAGCCTCTAGTTCCCTGGCTCACCTGATCCTCTGATCTCAGCCTCTGAGTAGTTGGGACTACAGGCACAAACCACCATTCCTGGATTTTTTTAAAAAATTTTTGTGGAGACAGGGGTCTCATTATGTTGCCCAGTTTGGTCTTGAACTCCTTGGCCCAAGCGATCCTCTCTCCTCAGCTTCCTGAGTAGCTGGGGCCACAGGCGTGCAGCACCAGGCCTGGCTGAGTTTCTTATTTTTTGTAGAGACGGGGTCTTGCTATATTACCAAGGCTGGTCTCAATTTCCTGGCCTCAAGCAACTCTCCTGTTTCAGCCTCCCAGAATGCTGGGATTATAGGCATGAGCCACCATGTCCAGCCAGTTCTGAGACTTTAAAGCTTCATGGAGTTTGGCCTCTAGGTAGTAATAAAGCACTTAAAATATGCTAAGGCTGAGTAATCCTTCTATCAGATGTATGAGGTAGGTCTGCTTTTCCCAGGTAAGAAAGTTGAGAAGCAGAGGGGTTAAGCAATTTGTCCAGAGCAAAAAGCTAACAGCCAGGGTCTATTTAACTCAAAGACTAAAGACCTATCACAGCAAGTCTGAATGGGAACGGGGCAGGATGCATGGTAAAGACAGTGGACTGTGACACAGGTCTCAGGGATTCTAGTTCCAAATCTGTCACTACCCCCTGTGCCCTCAGGTGAGCCTCACACGCCTCATGTGCGGCACATGGAAGCTGGACTAGACCTCGAGTGCCAGCATTCCCTGGGGGACCCTCAAGGCAAGTCCAAGGTGGGGCCCATGCTTCTGCTTTTACGAATTTATAAACTGGAGCTCTGGTTAAGATTTCATTACTAAGAATGAGCTTCTGCGCTTTGAAAGTCTGAAAAACACTGGCTCTGCCTAGCACTAATATTCCGGGAAGCAATATCTTAGGTCTAATGCTAATATTTTTTTCCAGTTTCACAGATTGGCATATATTTTTCTCTATTATAAAATTATAAGAAAAAAAGTAGCATGGAGGCTGGCTTACATTTTAAATCTTCACCTTTGTGAAACAATGAATATATCTATAATTTGTTAATATCTGATAAGTCATTGGCTGGAATTCACTAGGTATAATCACTACAGTGTTCCCTAATGTGAGAAAACTCAATTATTTTCATAACGATCTGCTTTAAGAATGTTTATCAAAAATTACTTATGGTAAAAAAAGATGGGACCACCCATATTTTGACAAGAGTGTAGCTAGTTAACCCTTCATGGTTTGGCTTTTTTAAAAACCAAATTATCCTTTGTCTGTGATAACAATTTGTCCAAACACATCTGTATAGTTTCTGACTTATCTATAAATAGCTCATCTCACAAATGTTGTGCAGGGGACAGCTGAATGAGCAGAGATGGAATCAATGGGCAATCCTGTTGTCCCAGAAATACAGACTTTCCCACCACCAATCTGGAAAGCCCTGTGAGCCTTGAAGGGCTAAATACTTTCCTATCAAGAATTCTCTCTTGGTCCTGCTAAACAGTACTTGACATTATTCCCATGTACAGATTCTTCACATTTCCACCACTGTTTTTCAGTTGGCTTTGAACAGGTATCTACTTACTTTTACTAGCCTTCTACAAAGCAAATTTTGCATGCTATTGTCATTGTTAATTTCTTAAAAACAAAGGAAGCTAAGTAAGCATCTACTTCACTACACTAATCACAAAACTATCTTTTAATAGTAAAAGAACAGCAAATAGTATGGTTATTTTACTAAACAAAGGCACTAATATATGCAGAGCTCCTTTACTCTTTGTTATTGGGCTTCTAAACATGTTTCAAAAATTGCATTATTTCCCCTTTTCCAAAACTCATTTCAAAATCTGCCTAATGCTCCTTCACTGGTTCCTTGAAAGAAACTCAAACACCTTTGAAAGACAAGTGTTTGTCTACATTCTTGAGCATGTGAATAGCTACTACGTTAGCAAGCCTATGTTGTTAAGGCCATCAAATTCTTCACAGTATCTGATTTTCATCAAAAATTTGCTGAGGGATTTTAGCTCAGAGAATTGCATTGTGTGCATGAATCTATGTAACAAAGGCTCTCTGACTAAACCAAAATCATTCTTGCATACAGTGGTGATAACTTAAAGATTCCTTAAACACCCTAATAGAATTATTGTGGTTTACTGTGTCTATCACTTGTGGATAATTGGAGTCACTCAAACACTGAAATGTGAATGACTTAAAAAGATTCATCAACCCCTTAGTGAAAACACCAAAATGATTCTCATTTTCTCTCTCACATTAACTCATAGGAAATTAAAGTTAAAAAACTATTGCCTACCCAAGTACACAATGACTAAATGAAGATTTTAAGGCTCAACACAAAATTATTTCTTATTAAGTACAAAGTCTTGAATAATAATTTACAAAGTGATTTCCTCTAAAAGATTTTTTGTTTGTTTTAAAGAAACCTACCTTAAGGTGTTTGCACACAAAAAAAAGTTTAAGTAATTCCGTTTCCATGCTGTGTTTATCTGGAAATACCATATTCTATATCTCAAATACCACCAACTGAACACTCCTGATGGCTGCTGGAAAAAGCCCTTCCTTATTGTAGAATAAAACCCCATCCCATGTCATTGAAAAAGGGGAAAAGTGGGAGGAAATAAAGGGCAAAGTTAAACATCAGCTTTAATTAATTCATGAACTATAATTGTTAGCACTCAGCTACTCTACATCGGCTGCCCACCACACCACAAAGGCAGAGTTAGTGAGCCGCTGTCATCACAAGTAATGCAGTCGTTACTGCTGCACAAGCAACGAGACACTAGCAGTCCACACCACAAGACTACTCTGTTACCCTTGAGGAGTCTGTGGGTGAAGAAAGCCCCTCGGCAGCATCCTCCTTGATAACCTCCTAACAACACAAAATGGGAGAGTGTGGGTGCAAAGGTGGAGGGATGAGCCAAACCATGGAGACACATGAACATGATGTCAAAATAATAACATACAACACTGAAACACTTCATGTGACTAGATTTTCCCTTTGTAACATTTCACAATTTAAATAGCAGTATAAGTTCTATACTGCTTTTTGCCTTTTAATGTATAAAAATACATTAATAGGGAATTTCTTTTGTAAATTATTAATTAAACTAAGTTTATCATCAGGAACCCCTAACATTTTGGGCACAAATATCTTTTGTTTTGGATTAATTAGATTCAATACTCCATTTGAAGAATTTCCCTTATCCTGTTTAATTTCTGCTATTAGATTGAAATGTTCTTCTTTCAATACATCCTTTATTTCTTATGCCATGGTGCTGACATATATATACAGATACCATATATGTATGTCCTTTAAAAAGATATTAGAAATTAGTAAATACAAAGGTTTAGTTTTAAAAGTTTTGGTAATAAACATTATATTACAAGCCAGAAATCTCTGGTTGTAAATAAGTCAACATTTATTTACTGAGACTGCTAGTTATTTTCCTTCCACAGATATTTGCCAGAAATGAAAACAAAATACATTTTATGTTATTAATAGATTATATTTCTTAAAACTATTTATAAAATAAGTTGCATTATTTTAGGAAATAACCAGATTTCTAATGCTATCTATGTTTATTATTAGATCAATATTTTAGTTACCCTTTTATATACTTACTAGGCCATTGCTCTGATCTCTGGGCAAATTCGTTTTTATTGATGGACGTGAGATGAGATGGTGGGAACTGCCAGGGTAATACCTTGGCGTGTAAAGGTATGGGGCAAAGAATGGCTATGGAAAAACACGTAACAAAAAAAAAGGGGATAAACAATTACAGAAATCAAAGTGTAATGAGATTTATCAAATGAAACTAACCATAATATACAACTGTAAAATTTTTAATGCAAGTGACAAAACAAAAATAAAAAAGCCTCACTCGTATTCTGTAAGATAGCAAACTCAGACTTAAAACATATTATTTACATTGTTATACTGTTCATTTAATATGAGGGCTTTTTAAAAAAACAAAAACAAATAAAATTTTTCACCTTACAATTTGAAACAATAATTTCTCTTTACATTTTAATATATTTACAAGCTTACCGTGTGTTAGGCTCTAAGTGATTCCGAATATTAACTCACAATCTCTTTAAAAGAAGAAATTCTTTACAATTAAGATTCTTTACAAAAAGTATTAGCTTAAATAAGACCAAAAAGGTCCAGATTATATGAGAACACCCCAGCACAGATTCCAAGAATAGTGTTACTCCAAGTTCCTGGAGTTTACCTCTAATCTCCACCCTGAAGTTTATACCCTAAATAAGCAAGTGGATTTTTTTAAAAAACAAGTAGGGAATCCACTGTTTACAGGAGATTTATAACTACAGCATGCATTTGTAAGCAGCTTCATATAAGCAGGAGGCATCAGATTATATGCGCCAAACATAAAGACTGTACTTCATGAGGTTTCATTATACTGAGGTAACACCTTTTAGACTCCTACCACTTGAGAAAAATTATTCTGCTTTTAAGACTAAAAATTCAAATAACTACAGAAAAAGTAACTAGAACTAAAAACAAGAGAAAATTTTAAATGTTTTAAAAATAATAAAATACCATTGAAACATTATCACATTATTGCTATTCATGAAATTATTGAACATAAAATCTAACTCAGCCTAGATGACCTGGTAATCTTTTTTGTTTTTTCCTCAAATAAACTTCTTCATTTCAAAACTTCAACTGGCATTAATTGAGCCATCAGATTTTAAGATTGGTAAATAAAAACTTGCATTTCACACTGCTTACCATAGTTAAATTTTATAAGGATGGAATATATTATAAAATGTCATTGTTCCACATTTGTCTCCTTGTTGCAACAGAAAAATGGAATAACAACATTCCTAGGTCTCCATGAGCAGTGTACCTAATTACTTACATGGCAACATTTTTCAAAAACTGAAAATTTAATTTAAAATCTGGAATTCCTTCATTGCCACATTTAGCTCATATGAAATTTATTTAGGCAGGCGGTTGCCTCCTATGAATACTAGTCCCTAAGTTCTCTCAAATTAGACTAAAAAGAGAGACAAAAAAATAAGAAGCTGCAATGGATCTTGGAGTACAGTTCCAGAAAGCATAATGCCATGGTTCATGCATGCCCCATTTTCCTCTGGGAAACATTAAATCATTAAAGTAAGAGCAGATAGCTTGGTCTTACTATGCCTGACTGGGTGTACCATCAATAATTAATTGTGGTTTGCTCTTTTGATCTAGAAAACTGTCTTATTTATATTAAGTAAACAATTATACATGACTGAAGATAACTTGAAATAAAACTCTAAAAATGGGCTATGGTACTTATTTGGCAATAACATCTGAGCCCTACAAGTATTTCCCCATTATTACCTCACATTTAAAAGACATAAAATGTATTAAGTACAGTTTTACTGAACGACTGTAGGAATGTAAGTTTGTCATTGTTTTAAATGCCACTATAAATTATTATACAAGATATAACAAATGGAACATTTGTTTATAAACAGAGAAACAGATTCCTTTGACCCACAGCACATTTGCTGCTGACCCTGTGTTCATTTTCTAATCAAGAAAATAAATTAAAGCAAAAAGCATCTCTAATATTCAGACTCTCTTGGAGATCTAAAACACATTAAAATTCAACATTCTTTTCATTTTTGCAAAATCATATATTTTACATTTGAACCTTACATTTTTCCTATTTTAAAGCCAAAGTATAGTTTCAAAACAATAATGGAATCCACAAGCAGAAAGCTTGTGTGACTTTTCTGGAACAAATTCTTAAAAGTAAAGCTGCCTCGACCTCCTTACCCTGTTATAGAAGGGATGCTGAGGGCCCGTCATGCCGCTGTAGTAGCTGCTGTGAGGCTGTGGTGACACCACGCCACCTGTGAAGGGCCCGTTGAAGGACGTGGAAGAGGAACACACGGAGGGGGGCTGGCTGTACGCTGATGGTGGCCTGGGAGGAGCTTCGTGCAGAGGGAGTGGGGGGTACGCAAGTCCTCCTATGCTGATCTGCTCTCTTGCAGCACGAACGTCTGCAGGATTCCATCAAACCCGGAGGTGATAGAAAAATAGGACATTAGGGATAAGTTCAATTATCACCTCCTTCTTTAGCTAACTAGACAGAGACATGATTTTATCACTCTTGCCAGGGATTCCAACTGGATTAAAGAAGACAAGAAATCTGAGTATTCCACAGAACTTTTAGTGAGAAAAGCCCAAGTACTTTACATAAAAGTCATCAACATTTGGATTCTTCTCTTCAGTTATCAGAACTATTCATTTTTCTATAATTTTTAAAGGATTTGTTTTTACTTGTGATATTCTACAATTCTTATGATTCATAAAATGTTACCAACTATCAACAACTCACACTTGTCTAATGTTAATACATACAATGCTAGCTAAGAGTATTGGGTTTGGAAACTGTGAGACTCATCCAGCTCTGCACAACAATGGATTCCATAGCCACAAAATGCACCTTTGACATCAGCCTTATAACAGGCACCTAAAAAAAGAATGTAGTAGTTTAAGGCAATCTCGTCACAATTCCTGGAAAATTCAAAAGTGGGTCAAAGGAGCCCTATTATAAAAACGTTTCTGTGTGTGTGTGCACATGCTTGTAGTGGTACCTCAAGAACTTAATCCAAAACCAACATCTTACAATCATGACTATATGTTAAAAGGAATGAAATTCCAAAGTTCCAAAGTAAAGATATGGTTGGGGTGGGGGAGCAAATTATAATAAAGTAAGTTTAACATATAACATTTTATTAATATTCCAGAAAGGATATCAAGACTCCCAATGTTAGCTGGACATGGCACATGCTTGTAGTCCAAGCTACTCAGGATGCTAAGGCAGGAGGTTCGCTTAAGCTCAGGAATTCAAGAATGCAGTGAGCTGTCTGTCACTACACCACTGCACTCCAGCCTGGGCAAGAGAGCAAGATCTATCTCAAAAAAAAAAAAAAAAAAGACTCCTAATCTTTAATATCATCAATTCTCCTATGTAGAGCTTGGTTCAACACTTCCTGGTTTTTTCACGTAGCAGGAAAAACTTACACAACCAACTTAGAAAAAGGAAAATTTTTGAGGACTTTAAAGAAGAAAAATTAAATTTACTACTATACTCACCTGCAATAATTTCCCGTAATTTGGGATCTAGGTTTACAGTGCATGGCAAAAAGATTTTTACATCTCGAGCCACAAGAACTGGGGTCCTTGAAGACAAAAATACTTCAAAATTTCTTATATCTCCATCGATTTCAAGCAGTGGCTCAACATCTTTAGTTGTTGGAATATTCTTTGATATTCTTCAAACAAGTAATAAATGAAAAAGGTCATTAATGTCACTATTAGAAAGATAAATTCTGCATGTAACTTAAAATTTGTTACTTATATAACAACACATTACACATCTTGCTCTCATCTAAAAAAAAAAGTATAAGAAAAAGAAAAAAAAGAACCTCCCCCCAAAGTGGTATGGTTATGAAAAAAGGTAACAATGAGAGAGGTCAGAGTTATACTACCTTTAGCCAAAGGCACACGAGGACAGGGGGCTGATCAAATAGCCTGTCCAAAGTCACAAAGCTAGGAAAAAGAATGTGACTGGTTTTGAAACCCATGTTTTTTTTTAGTGGAATATCATGGTTCTTCACTTTGCAAATAAAAGAAGAAATAAAGAAGTACTTTTAAATAAATTATATAAACTAGAAAAAAGCATAGATTTTTCCTTTTTTAAAAAAGAAGCATAGGCTGGAAGCTGTGGCTCATGCCTGTAATCCTAGCACTCTGGGAGGCCGAGGCGGGAAGATCACTCAAGGTCTGGAGTTCGAAACTAGCCTGAGCAAGAGCAAGACCCTGTCTCTACTAAAAATAGAAAGAAATTAATTGGCTAACTAATATATATAGAAAAAACTAGCCGGGCATGATGGTGCATGCCTACAGTCCCAGCTACTTGGGAGACTCAGGCAGAAGGATGGCTTGAGCCCAGGAGGTTGAGGTTGCTGTGAGCTAGGCTGACGCCACAGCACTCACTCTAGCCTGGTCAACAAAGTGAGACTCTGTCTCAAAAAAATAAAAATAAAAATAACAAAGAAGCATATATGTAAGACAGAAATATAGAAAAAAGCAAATTTTTTTATCAGACACAATAGCTGTTGATGTAATATGTCAGTCAGCCTTTTATTATGCAGAATGTTTTACATAGTTGAGTTCAAACAATATGTAAATTATTTTGTATTAGTATGTATAAACTATTTTGTTTGTAAATGTAAAAATAAGTAATATTCATAAAAAATACTTATTAAATATCACTATGTTGAACTATATGAAATTGCAATTTTTGTAGGTTAAAAACAGTCACACATTGACAATTCTGTATGGTTCAACCTATTTTGCCAGGCTATGTGCTGATCTGAGGCAGTGGGCAAGAATGCATCACAGAGATATAAAAGGATGGAATATATGAAAGAGAAATTAAATGACAAGGAGGTAGATGAGAAAACTAGAAACAACCCAAATGTCCACTAACAGATGGAAGAATAAATAAACAGTGGTCTATAATACAACGGAACATTACTCAGCAATAAAAAGGAATAAACTACTGAGACACACAACATGGCTGAATCTCATAATCAATTATGTTGAGTAAAAGAATCTAGCCAATAAAAAGCACATAGTTGTTATGTGTTTTTATTTCTATAAAACTAGAAAATGTAAACCAATCTAAAGTAACAAAGCAGATCAGGGTTTCCTGTGAAGTCAGGAATGTGGTGGAGGAAGGAGACAGGGAGGGATTACAAAGGAATAGGCAAAAAATTTTGGAAGTGATGGAAACTCTCCTAATTGTAGTGATGATTTTGTGAGTATACACATACATCAAACTTGTGAAACTGGACAATTTAAATGTGGCAGTTTACTATTTATCAATTATATCTCAAAAAGCTGTTTACAAATCACTGGAGATATCTTCAAAACACTTCCCAATTAATCAAGAATATTAACTGTTAGATTATACTGAGTGAGTACAGTTTTAGAGGAGCGGTAAGATTTTCACGCACTTCAAGAAGTAAAATGGGAATCTTAACTCCAATATTAGTAACAGTTATATTATTTCTTTGAGACTAGCACTTTACTGCTCAGACTCAATAGTTGGCTGGTAGCTAAATATTAAAAGTCATCTAATAGAAAATCCAGAGAACAAAATTAGCAAACGAGAACAGAATAGGGTGTTGGTAAGAAAATAAGGATAGCAATTTTACCTTAATGAATTTCAGAAAGTCCCTTTTACAAAGTCACACACACACAAAACAAGAAACAGGAAAATCTTCCAAAATGGGATTACTTTTCATAAATCAAAATGGCACTCAACCTGATTGTTAAATATATTTAAAATGAATTCATTTGCAGAAGTAGCCAAAATATCAGAGCTTATTTAAACAGTTAAAAAGGTAGTTCATCTATTTTAAGAGTTTACCACAAAATACCGGGAAGAAAGGATAGAAAGATTTAGATAAAAACACACAGCTGACAAGTCACATGAAACAAATTAACTGAATTTTAATGCCAGCGCTGCTTAAGCTTGAATGCGAGCAGTGTTCCCAGTGTGATGAACAATGCTGCTGTTCACAAGCCGACAGGCTACTGCTGGTTTCCAGATTGAAGTCTCTATTCTAACCTTCTGAGCTCAATACATTAAACTCTTCTGCTGAAAGAGATATTTATGTAAATGATAATCTTTTGGCAGTGGGCCATCAAAATCATATGTGCCTTTATTTTTCAGATATTTTTCCAAAGATTAGCATTTAAAGAATTTAAGTAACTTCACTTTTCAATTAAGAGTGAATTTAAATTTCCAGCATTATGAATCATGTGAATTAAAGTTGTCGGCAGTTAAATGGCCACAAGAAAGGATTATAAAGCCTCAGGCATCAATGAGCCCCTAGTAAGCCTAAATGCATTTTCTGTCGATGCTACCAGTCTAGCAGTACTTGTTAATGTAACATCAATATAAGTTAAAAGTATTTTGATTATAAATGACAGTGGTTTATAGAAAGTCCATATTAATTCCTTGGCAGAAATTACACAAGCTATTCATATAACTTCCATTCAAAATGAAGTTTTAAATTACATAAAAAAGATTTGTTTTAAATCAAAGTATAAACAGGTTCTTAGTGCATATTTATAAAGGCATTATTTATCATACTTTATCTAAAAGTAGTTGCCTAATGTCATTATTTAATTGGAGATTAAAAATTAAGATACATTTTCTTTAAAAATTTAAACAGGTGAAAACTCTTAAATGCATTAAAATTTCATTACCTTGAAATAATTTCAAATAGACTCAAATACTTTCTACCAGTGAATGACCAGTTATTAAATATCCTCTATGCACAGAACACTGGAGCTTCTGCGAGACAGATGGAACACACAAACAGAAACAGCCACTCAGCACTGTTGCCAAAGAGTCAGAAACAAAAGATAAAACAAAATCCATTTTTATTCCTACTACTATCTGTGGAAAAACAATCAAAAATCCTAGACACCTCAGGAGCTAGCTACACTTTCCTCCTCCAGCTTCACCCAGTTAATCCCTACCCATCCTTTGTACTCAGTGCAGCTTCCCCAGGGACCAGCTTGAGTTCCTCCACTACAAAGCCACATAGCACACATACTTTCTTGCACATATAACAACTGAAATTCTATATTCATTAGTGGAATTATTTCCTTAACGTCTGTCTCCTCCTCTAGACTGTAAAGTCCATTAAAACTGGGAACAAGTTTGGCTTTGTTCACCATTGTATCTCACAAAAACGTCACGATGCTGTCGTTCACTAAATATTTGTAGAGTGAGGAAACTACATACACAAAATGTGTTCTTCCAAAAGAATTCTATTCTTTTACAATAAAATAATTTTCATTTTAATTATCTTTTCTAATATTGACAAAACCTTGTGCTTGGGAAAGAGTTGGTTGATCTATTTGGAGTTAATTTTTGTACATGGTGTGAGGTAGGGTCTAACTTCATTCTTTTGCATCTGGAGATCTAGTCGTCCCAGCACCATCTGTTTAAGTGACTGTTCTTTCCTCAAGTAAGTAGACCTGGCACCTTTGTCAAAACTGGTCACAGAACATATGGGATTATTTCCGGACTCTCAATTCTATTCCATTGGTCTACATGTCTATCCTTATGCCAGTGCCACCCTGTTTTGATTACTGCAGCTTTGCAATAAATTTTGAAATTGAGAAGTATGAGCCCTCCAACTTTGTTTTCTTCTAAGATTGTTTTGATTATTTGAGGTACTTTGCAATTGCATATGAATTTGAGAATCAGATGTTTCTGCAAAAAAAAAAAAAAAGACTTTTGGAATTCTGACAGATATTGTATTGAATCTGTAGATCACTTTGTATAGTACTGACATCCTAATATTCAGTCTTCCCATTTATTTAGCTCTTCTTTAATTTCTTTTGCAATGTTTTTTCATTCTCACTGTACAAATCTTCAACCTCCTTGGTTAAATTTATCCCTAGGTATTTTATTCTTTTAGAAGCTATTGTAAATAGAACTACTTTCTTAATTTCCTTTCAGATTGGTCACTGTAGGTGCATGGAAACACAACTAATTTTCATGTGTTGATTTGTACCTCGCAAACTTTGATTTCTTTACTAGCTCTAGTAGCTTTCTTGGGATTTTTTATATACAGGATTATGTCATCATCGACTAGAAATAGTTCACTTCCTTCCCAATGTGGGTCATTTTATTTCTTTTTATTGTCCAATTGCGCTGGCTAGAACTTCTAGTACAATGTTGAATAGCAGTGGTGAAAGTGGGTGTCTTAGCTCAGGCTACTATTACAGAATGTCACAGACTGGGTGGCTTAAACAGCAAACATTTATATCTTGAAGTTCTAGAGGCTGGAAGTCAGGGATCAGGGTGCCAGATAGTTGGGTTCTGGTGAGGGCCCTTCTTGATTTGTTGTGTCCTCATATCAAGGAAACAACAGAGAGAAGGGGGAGTTCTCTGGTCTCTTTTTAGAGAGCATAATCCCATCCCCACCCTAATGACCTCATCTAAACCTAATTACCTCCCAAAGACCCCAACTCCAAATACTACCATATGGGGGTTTGAGCTTCAATATGTAAATTTTGGTGGGACCCAAACATTCAGTCCATAGCAGGGGGCATCTTTGTCTTATTTCTGCCTTAGGGGGGAAAATTTTTAGTATCACCATTGAGTATGATGTTAGCTGTGGGTTTTTCATGAATGCCCTTTATCATGCTAAGTTAAGTCCCCTTCTATTTCTAGTTTTCT